CAAAATCTGAATATAATTACCCGAGATATTCAAAAAAAATCATCAAAAAAGTTTTGATTTTCGAACCGACCCCGATTTTTAGAAAAAACGTGATGTAACCCCTTGCCATTTGGCCGATTTGGGTCAAAATTTAGATTTTCATTTTTTTGATGCCAATAGATTGTTCTGATCCTAACGAGTCCAAAATGGTATAAAATTCCAAAATCGGACATTATTTGGCCGAGATATTCCAAAAAATCATCAAAAATGGTTGACTTTACAAACGAATCGGTTTTTGGTCAACCACTTGTTTTAACCAATCGATTTTTGAAATGTTTGAATGCCAATTGATAGTAGGGAACCTTACAAAATCAAAAAGGTAAAACATTTCAAAATCTGAATATAATTACCCGAGATATTCAAAAAAAATCATCAAAAAAGTTTTGATTTTCGAACCGACCCCGATTTTTAGAAAAAACGTGATGTAACCCCTTGCCATTTGGCCGATTTTGGTCAAAATTTCGATTTTCATTTTTTTGATGCCAATAGATTGTTCTGATCCTTACGAGTCCAAAATGGTATAAAATTCCAAAATCGGACATTATTTGGCCGAGATATTCCAAAAAATCATCAAAAATGGTTGACTTTACAAACGAATCGGTTTTTGGTCAACCACTTGTTTTAACCAATCGATTTTTGAAATGTTTGAATGCCAATTGATAGTAGGGATCCGTACGAATTCAAAAAGGTATAACATATTAAAATCTGAATATAATTACCCGAAATATTCAAAAAAAATCATCAAAAAAGTTTTGATTTTCGAACCGACCCCGATTTTTAGAAAAAACGTGATGTAACCCCTTGCCATTTGGCCGATTTGGGTCAAAATTTAGATTTTCATTTTTTTGATGCCAATAGATTGTTCTGATCCTTACGAGTCCAAAATGGTATAAAATTCCAAAATCGGACATTATTTGGCCGAGATATTCCAAAAAATCATCAAAAATGGTTGACTTTACAAACGAATCGGTTTTTGGTCAACCACTTGTTTTAACCAATCGATTTTTGAAATGTTTGAATGCCAATTGATAGTAGGGAACCGTACAAATTCAAAGAGGTATAACATTTCAAAATCTGAATATAATTACCCGAGATATTCAAAAAAAATCATCAAAAAAGTTTTGATTTTCGAACCGACCCCGATTTTTAGAAAAAACGTGATGTAACCCCTTGCCATTTGGCCGATTTTGGTGAAAATTTAGATTTTCATTTTTTTGATGCCAATAGATTGTTCTGATCCTAACGAGTCCAAAATGGTATAAAATTCCAAAATCGGACATTATTTGGCCGAGATATTCCAAAAAATCATCAAAAATGGTTGACTTTACAAACGAATCGGTTTTTGGTCAACCACTTGTTTTAACCAATCGATTTTTGAAATGTTTGAATGCCAATTGATAGTAGGGAACCTAACAAAATCAAAGAGGTAAAACATTTCAAAATCTGAATATAATTACCCGAGATATTCAAAAAAAATCATCAAAAAAGTTTTGATTTTCGAACCGACCCCGATTTTTAGAAAAAACGTGATGTAACCCCTTGCCATTTGGCCGATTTGGGTCAAAATTTAGATTTTCATTTTTTTGATGCCAATAGATTGTTCTGATCCTTACGAGTCCAAAATGGTATAAAATTCCAAAATCGGACATTATTTGGCCGAGATATTCCAAAAAATCATCAAAAATGGTTGACTTTACAAACGAATCGGTTTTTGGTCAACCACTTGTTTTAACCAATCGATTTTTGAAATGTTTGAATGCCAATTGATAGTAGGGAACCGTACAAATTCAAAAAGGTAAAACATTTCAAAATCTGAATATAATTACCCGAGATATTCAAAAAAAATCATCAAAAAAGTTTTGATTTTCGAACCGACCCCGATTTTTAGAAAAAACGTGATGTAATCCCTTGCCATTTGGCCGATTTTGGTCAAAATTTAGATTTTCATTTTTTTGATGCCAATAGATTGTTCTGATCCTTACGAGTCCAAAATGGTATAAAATTCCAAAATCGGACATTATTTGGCCGAGATATTCCAAAAAATCATCAAAAATGGTTGACTTTACAAACGAATCGGTTTTTGGTCAACCACTTGTTTTAACCAATCGATTTTTGAAATGTTTGAATGCCAATTGATAGTAGGGAACCTAACAAAATCAAAGAGGTAAAACATTTCAAAATCTGAATATAATTACCCGAGATATTCAAAAAAAATCATCAAAAAAGTTTTGATTTTCGAACCGACCCCGATTTTTAGAAAAAACGTGATGTAACCCCTTGCCATTTGGCCGATTTTGGTCAAAATTTAGATTTTCATTTTTTTGATGCCAATAGATTGTTCTGATCCTTACGAGTCCAAAATGGTATAAAATTCCAAAATCGGACATTATTTGGCCGAGATATTCCAAAAAATCATCAAAAATGGTTGACTTTACAAACGAATCGGTTTTTGGTCAACCACTTGTTTTAACCAATCGATTTTTGAAATGTTTGAATGCCAATTGATAGTAGGGATCCGTACGAATTCAAAAAGGTATAACATATTATAATCTGAATATAATTCCCCGAGAATATTCAAAAAAAATCATCAAAAAAGTTTTGATTTTCGAACCGACCCCGATTTTTAGAAAAAACGTGATGTAACCCCTTGCCATTTGGCCGATTTCGGTCAAAATTTAGATTTTCATTTTTTTGATGCCCATAGATTGTTCTGATCCTTACGAGTCCAAAATGGTATAAAATTCCAAAAACGGACATTATTTGGCCGAGATATTCCAAAAAATTATCAAAAAAGGTTGACTTTACAACCGAATCGGTTTTTGGTCAACCACTTGTTTTAACCAATCGATTTTTGAAATGTTTGAATGCCAATTGATAGTAGGGGACCGTACAAATTCAAAAAGGTAAAACATTTCAAAATCTGAATATAATTACCCGAGATATTCAAAAAAAATCATCAAAAAAGTTTTGATTTTCGAACCGACCCCGATTTTTAGAAAAAACGTGATGTAATCCCTTGCCATTTGGCCGATTTTGGTCAAAATTTAGATTTTCATTTTTTTGATGCCAATAGATTGTTTTGATCCTTACGAGTCCAAAATGGTATAAAATTCCAAAATCGGACATTATTTGGCCGAGATATTCCAAAAAATCATCAAAAATGGTTGACTTTAAAAACGAATCGGTTTTTGGTCAACCACTTGTTTTAACCAATCGATTTTTGAAATGTTTGAATGCCAATTGATAGTAGGGAACCTAACAAAATCAAAGAGGTAAAACATTTCAAAATCTGAACATAATTACCCGAGATATTCAAAAAAAATCATCAAAAAAGTTTTGATTTTCGAACCGACCCCGATTTTTAGAAAAAACGTGATGTAAACCCTTGCCATTTGGCCGATTTTGGTCAAAATTTAGATTTTCATTTTTTTGATGCCAATAGATTGTTCTGATCCTTACGAGTCCAAAATGGTATAAAATTCCAAAATCGGACATTATTTGGCCGAGATATTCCAAAAAATCATCAAAAATGGTTGACTTTAAAAACGAATCGGTTTTTGGTCAACCACTTGTTTTAACCAATCGATTTTTGAAATGTTTGAATGCCAATTGATAGTAGGGAACCTAACAAAATCAAAGAGGTAAAACATTTCAAAATCTGAACATAATTACCCGAGATATTCAAAAAAAATCATCAAAAAAGTTTTGATTTTCGAACCGACCCCGATTTTTAGAAAAAACGTGATGTAAACCCTTGCCATTTGGCCGATTTTGGTCAAAATTTAGATTTTCATTTTTTTGATGCCAATAGATTGTTCTGATCCTTACGAGTCCAAAATGGTATAAAATTCCAAAATCGGACATTATTTGGCCGAGATATTCCAAAAAATCATCAAAAGAGTTTGAATTTACAAACGAGTCGGTTTTTGGTCAATAACTTTTTTCAACCCAGCGATTTTTAAAATGTTTGAATGCCAATTGTAAGTAGAGATCCGTATGAACTCAAAAAGGTATAACATTTAAAATCAGGCAACATTTACCCGAAATATTAAAAAAAAATTCATCAAAAAAGTTTTGATTTTCGAAACAATTCCGATGCCATTTGGTCAAAATTTAGATTTTCATTTTTTTGGTGCCAATCGATTGTACTGATTCGGACATCAAAAATGGTTGACTTTATAAACGAATCGTTTTTTGGTCAACAACTTTTTTGAACCCAGCGATTTTTAAAATGATTTTAGAGCATTGTACGTGCGTCCCGTAGTTCCAGGATTCGACCAAAATTTTCGCCTTCAACTTTTTCAAGGGGTCTAGTCGCAAAGTTGGCCAAAAACGAAAAAATCCGGGCTAACTTGGCCATTTGAAGGACTATCGGGATGTCCTTTGATCAGCAAGTAGTCATCATCCTCCCAATTAAGAATATACAACAAAAAGGACGAAAGTGCTTCAAATAGAGAAGTTTTAAGGACAATTTTGTCAAGAGAAATAGGCAATAATTAGGCCGTATCCTTGCGTATCCTGACGAGTCCTGTGCCAAAAAATTGACTTGACCAGGGTTACCAACTGGCCAAAGGGCATCTATATCGTCCTTGTAGTTTCCAAGTTATTAAGGATTTTGTGATTTTAGACCATAGTACGTGCGGCCCGCACGACTGAAAATTTACAAGTCGTGGATTCTTAGATGACCCCATAATGTTTTGATGCAGAACGATAAGGTTGGTCCTTGCGGTCCTAACGCACCATGCCCTTTGAAAATCCGCAAGGATATAGCCGAGCTATTGCTATTTTTCTAAAAAGGACATTCGTTTTTTGGCCATAGCTCGGCCAAATCCTTAAGGATCTGACAAGGACACACATAATTGAACTCGCAGAAATAATACAAGTCAAGAAATTTTTTTACTTTCACATTTTATTTTGTTTTTCTTTTTGTTCATTTCAAAAGGATCTTTGTAATTTAATCATTTTCACATATTTTCACTTTCCTTACTTTGAGTGTTAATTTGCATTTGCAATTGTATAATAATTTTTCTCATTGTGTATTCTGTTGTTGTATATTTCTTTTTTGTTTTTGTTTTTTTTTTTGTTTTTATCTTTTCAAAAATTATTAACATCGATTGCATGTTGTTGTTGCAGTTGTTAATTGTCAATAATAAAAATTGAATTCTTGAATGCTTGTTCATTTGTTCGTTATAACTAGAATTGTTTCTGTTTAACTTGTTGTTGTTTTTGCTTTTGTTTTTGCTGCTATTGTGTGTTACAAATGGTTCATAATTTAAATTTCGATTCATAAATTTTCTTTTGCTTGCGTGTGTTGCTGACTTATAAATGTAATACATTTGCAATCTTTTTCTATGCACTGCTTCTGCTCTTTCCAAAGTAAATGTGATTCAAACAAAAATTAATAACAATTGAATAAACAAATCAAAATAGCCATTAACAATTTGTTAAACTTGATACGCGCACCTTTACTCAAGGCAGAGAGAAGCGGCCTGAACTAAACTAAATAAGCACATATGTATATTTATACATTTTGTAATAATTATACATATATATTAATTGATTTATATATGTATATATAAATTGTTATTAAAATGCATTAAAAATAGTCAAATGTGTACAAAAAGTTTATACTATTTCGAATGATTCATATACTTAACCATCTTTAAATAAGTTTTATAATTTAACTATTTCATTTGACTAAAGTTTCCCGCAAGAAACTGCTGACTGCTTTTCTGTTTATTATTTATATTATTATTTATTATGCTTACATTTTGTTTTTTTCTTTCTTTTTGTTGTTGTCAAACTTATATAAACAGTAAAAATTATGTTAAAATGTTGTGATTTGGTATTTTGCTTTAATTTTTTGTGTTTTCTTCTTCTTTTTTTTTGTGTTTGATTAACATTCATCCATTTATCAATTGTATATTTATTTTGTTTAGAATTTCTGTTGACTCGATTTTTACGCTTTGCTTGTTTTTACTGTCTGTAGTTTAATTGAAGTTTTCATTGTATATTTAATTCAATTTGATTGGAAACCTAAAAATGTTTTGATTATGTTTCGATTTTTGCTACACGTGTGTGCTTGAATGGGATTGAAAAATGAAAACATGAAACTCGCATAAAACAATGCCAGTCAAGTGTACACTGAAAAAAAAGAGAATAGAAACAAAAGCCCCTCGCAATTGACACACAATTGCACCAACTACTTGCAGTGTACCCCGGATTAATGAGCTGGTTAATGCATTGAATTTTTTCAGCAATTGGATAGGTTCTTTTTTGTTTTCCTGATTCGAATAACATCCAAGCTGCATTCACAACCAATATAATTATTATTTTGTTTCTTCTGGCAGAATATTTTCTTTCTGTTTGTGAAAACTCTTGTTTTCGTATTGAAAACTCATATAAAAAAAAAAGCAAAACCTATCAGGAGAAATGGAAATTTGTGCTCAATATTTGGTTTAACGTTTTCGTTTTCATTAACTATGGAATTTACCTACGCATGTATTTTGGTTTTCGCATCTTTTGCAAGTGTTCGAGTGAAGATCTTAATTATAATATTATTGTAATTTAGCTAGAAGAGTGTTTTCTTGTGTGTTTAGTTTTTTTTTTTTTTTTTTTGCTGTCGTGTTCTCGCTTATATATTTATATATAATTCTTGTTTTGTTTTTAGGTTTATTTAAATGTTTGCCCGCGTTTAACAAGTTAGGTTTTGCTGTATTTGGCGCTGAATGCTGCATTTACCATTGTCTTCTGGGATTTGTAATCCCCAAAACTCATTTCGATTTAGTGTGTGTTTATAAATATGTTCTTGTTAAAGTGTATGGAATTCTCTTGTCTTTAGTTAGTATTACTTGTTAGTTTACCATTTAACATTTTGACTAAATTGTTTCTATTTTGTTTTCATGTGTGTATGTTTTGTGTATTCTTTTGTGGTTGCTGTATGGTATTTTCTTATTTCTTTTTTTTTGTTTTTAATTTTTTTCAGTGTACTTCCTACAAACTAAACATTTTGCATTGCAGCTTTAGATTTAATTCGAGTGTATGTTGATTTGCTGTTCGTGTTGCTTAATTCTCTAAGATTTTCTTCTTTCTTTCTTTTATCTTTTTAGAACGTTTGTTTAAAGTTGCATTTTTAATATATTTTGTTTTATTTGTGTTTTATTAAATTTTCGTTTTTGGTTTTTTGGTTTTCGTTTGCGATTGTTAGTTTTGTTTTCATTTTAAATTCTCTAAGCCTAAATACAATCAATGTTTCAATTTGTTCACGTTTTCTCCTCAATAAATGTATTTAAATCGAAATTTATTTTCAAGTCTTTTTCAGCGACAAATGCATTTGAATTTGTTCACATTTTCATTTTTATTTATTTATTTATTTAATCCTTATTAAATTTGTTCAAAATCCTTTGCTATAATTATACGTTTATTATATGTTTTGCACATTAAATACAATCGATATTATAAATCAAAGTCTTCTTTTTGAAAAAGATGTGCAAGTTAGCATCTTTTCGCTCTCATTAAAAACGTAAACAAAAAACAACAAACTGTTTGTTATTTCATATTTTGTTTTATCTTTCATTCGATGTTTTTTTATGCTTAAAAACAATTCGAGACTATTCACTTTTTCAAAAGCAACTTTAACATTTTGACACACTTGTTTCAGTATTAATTAGTTAATAATAAATAAAGTTTTATTTTGGTTTTTATTTTTATTCTTTTTATTTTTATTCTTTTTTTTGCAAGTTGCTTCATTTTTGATTTTGGGGGAGGGAGGAAAAAGTGTTAGTTCGTATTGTTTCTGTGTGTTGTGTTCTTTGATTGAACTGTTGCCGTTGTTTCTTACACTTGATTAGTTAAAATTGTAACAAAAGAATTTATTTAAGAGTTCTTATGTTTGCTTAGCTTCATACTAAATGTATTGTTTTGCTTTTTCTGATTTAATTTTTCACATCGTCTTTGCGGGTTGTTGACTGTGGATCTGTGCCTAAATTTATCATGTCTCGTGGTTTCCACACCGGGGACCCTACAATTAAATGAAAGAAAAGAAAAGATACAATGGAAACCATATATGAAAGAATATGAAATTTTCGTAGCCTCGTTCTATTATTTTTGTTTGCTTTTTTCATTCTTATGCGGTCAAACAAAAATCCAGAACTTAATTTGTAGCAGTATAAAGAGTAGCAGAGAAAAGCTCTCCATTTTGTTTAAATCTATAATTTGGTGTACATTTAGTTTAGGTTTATTTAGGAGTTAGCCAATTGTCGTCTTCTGATTCAGATAATTACTTTTAAAACATGCAACGCACCCCGTTCAAAGTACTTGGCCAAAACAAATACTTTTAACGTTCTCTTTTAGCTTAAATAAAATATAAGCAAAACTAATTATATTTCTTTTAAATGCATAATGAGCACTACTTTAACGCTGCGTTTGCTACTTAATATGGAATGGAGGGGGAGGAGGAGGAGGAGAAGGAGGGGTTAATTGTGGTTTCGGGCAGTTTAAACAGCTAGTCTAAAACAACTAATTAAGAATTTGTATAAATTTAAATTTTTTTATATTTGTTGAGGGAATTAAAACAGTATGGGATAAAAGTTTAGTTCTGTTGGTTTAAAATGTTGACATCGCTTGGTTTTTTCATATTACTTTCTTTCTTCTCTTTTCTATATTTTTTTCGTTACTTCAAGATAATCTACTTTTCAGTTAGTTGCATTTAGAGATTGTACAAATGTTCGAATTATTTTAAATCAGTTTTGCATTTTATGCCAACATTTTTGTATGTTTCGTGTTCAGTACAAAAAGGAAATGGAAATAAAATATGGTCAAAGTCGTGATTGTTCTTATAAATTCGGAAAACACTTTGATTTCAAATGAGTGCATGTTGAAAATGTTAGATTCATCTAAAACATATGCTTAAAGTACTGCAATTTGTCGGCCAATTAGATAAAGATAATTGGGGGCGAGCGTTGGCACGCCTCCATTGCAATAAACAAGTTTTAGCTGGTTTCGGAAAATAGTTTGGAATAAAGTTAACATTTTTTGGAAAATTATTGCCGTGATTAAAAAAACGATGTGCTTTTCGAGGTATGAGATACACAAAAATGCAATGCAAATGTTATACGAGAAGCGAAATAAAATTTTTGCTGTTCTTTTTGTTATTAAATTAGACTGAAGAGAGAGAGAGAGAGAGAAGGGGGAAGTGTTTACATGGAGTTTGTTGCTTGGTTTTTAGTTGGTTGTGGGGACACGTGTGTGTAACCATAAGACATTTATATAAATATTTCGATTATATATGTATATATATGTTATTGCGTATTTTAATTAATGCTCTTAGTTTTCCATTCGCACTAATTTATCATAAACGTAATCATAGCGTTTCAAGAGTTTACGTTAATCTGGCACAGTTGATGTTGTTTTATTTAACTATTAGTTGTTGTTGTTATTGTTTCTTTTTAGATAATTAGAAAATGCAAAACAGATTATTATTGAAATGACAAAAATGTTTAATGGAAAGAACTTGCAAAATCGCCGCCAAATTTCATTTTCAATAAAATTTTATTTATTACTTATTAATTAATCAAGCGATGCCAACTAAATATACTTAGATAGATCTTGTTATTCTTGTTGTTGTTTTTGGTTGTTTTTATTAGCTATCAAGTGCTTGCAACAGATACAACAGATACACACTGTACGGCTGGCTTTGGCCATAGATGCAGATGTATCTGTGTGTGGCTTAGGCACAAAACCTTCGAACATACTTAAATGTTTTCTTCTTATAAATAGACATACATATTTTAGCATAAATTAATAGGAGATTGTGTTACGATTTGCATTGTGCTTAATGCATTTGATATTATTTATTTTTTTTGTAATTTATTTTTTTTACTTATCTTGAAGATAATTTGCAATAACAAAATTAAATATCACCCGTTAAATTGTTTAACTGCTAATTCAATATAATTAATAATTTGTTTCTAATTTACAAAAGGAAAATACGCACTTACCTGCTAACTTGACTAAATCAACTAAAATCAATTTGCAACTAATATTTTTGGGCACATAAAACATACGATACGATACGATACGAAACGGTTCTGTGACTGTCCTTAAGGGGGTGAGTTGTAGGGCGGGGGCAGGGGCGGGGGCGGGGTTTAGAGGGTTCTGCATCGATTACTGTCATTTTGTCGCTGTCCAAAGAGCTCGTTGATATTAATTTGAATTGTTGTTTAATTAGCTATTCTGTTTGTTTACATTTCAATATTCGTTATTTAAATTTTGTGAGCTTAATTATCATTTTATTTGCTGTCTATATTTTTTTCATCTTCTTGTTGCTGTTGATTTTAACGCTCTTGATTATATTTGGTTTGATTATTTATTTAGTGGTATACATTTATATTGGAGTTTTTGGCATATATGCAACAATGAATTTTAAATTGATTTTGTGATTAAAGTGTTTACGCGATTATTTGCTTGTTAGTTGTATTAGTTTTCCTTTTTTATACGTATTGTGTCTGCTTGTGGTTTTTATTTAATTTATTTTTTTTTTAATTTTAATTTATTACTTATGTAGCCATGTAAATTGATGTATTGTATATAGTTAGTAAATGTTGTCACTTGCCTTATTAATTGTATGTCGTATATATTTTGATTTTATTGGTTTTTCCATTTTTTTGAAATTTGTTGTTTTTGATTTTGCTGCTGTGAAGCCCAGTGTGTAAACTGTAAACGTTTATTTTCTTTTTGTTTTTGTATTGTAGATATCTTAAGAATTATTTTGACTATTTTGAATATAGCTTGAACAACCTGACATTTGATCTTTAAGTCCGTCTTGGGTCTCTCTATGTGTACTATATGCCTGCAGTTAATAGACACCCAAACTTAGTCTAAGTATGAATGTGTATATGAGAGCGAGGCAAGTCGAACGAATGGATTAAATAGAAGGATGGAATTCGGACTCTTTGGGCTTTGCTTTTAGAATTGGAAGATCTCTGGGTATGCATTAGGTTTGTGTTCACACCTGCCTGCCCTGATTTTAGTGTATATTTATGGCCGCATATATATACGCAGCGCTATGTATAATCGATCTATATAATATGCCTATATGCATTTTCTGTTGAATTTATTTAATACTGAACATTGAGGTACGACTTACGATTATCATTCTTCAATACATTTATTTCATTTGGTTTTTATTGTTTTTGTTTTTTTTTTTTTGTAAATCAATATTTGCCTATGAAAAAATGTACGTGATTTGCATATGCAATTTTATGATTGATAAATAAAAAACTCGTAAATGTTTTGTTATTAATTAATGCAAAATTATTTGTCACAACACCCACACATATTTTGACATATTTTGTTTTTCACTAGCTAACTATGTATGTAAATATTCATATTTGTTTTTGCTTCCTGTTTTTGGTTTTGTTTTTGTTTTTAGGTAGTATGTATAATGTTAACCTATAGAATGTTGCCAACCCGCATTATTCACTTAGACTTAAACTAAAATACACACGAGTATTTTGCACCCCGGAGCAGCTGCAATCATTTTTCATCTTGCAAGCTGTGTAATTAAAAACTTTTTCTTACGATTCCGGAAATGCCAGTGACACAGTTTGCACAGCTAATAGTTGGAACGACTGGCATTACCTACAACTTTTATCCTATATATAAGTACCTATTTTTTGCCATAGTGTACGTGCGAGTGCATATGTGTATTTGTGTGTGTGTGTGTGTGGTTGTTAGTAAGTTGGGCATGCATGTCTCTTAGTTTACTTGAGTGCGAGTATGAATTTCAACTTTAGTTTTTAGTCGTAATTACGCCACTTGAGCATTGTGTGCAACGCGGCGTATGCGTCATGTGCGTATACGTAATGCCGCACGCAGCATGCAGAACTTCCGCCATTTTGTGTAAATCATAGCCTTAAAAATAACGCCCCAAAATTTGCTTTTCTCTCTAAAACCAAAATAATTAACCTGATGTGCCAAGCACACACACACCCCAGTGGAGAGGGGGAGGGGGGCGCGGTCACAAATTGTAGCTGCAACTTTTGAGCGCCCGCCGCACCCCACAAAAAAAAATTTGTGCTCTGAAGATGTAGTTGAGTGTTCCTAAGAGCTATACCAAGAGCTTAATCTAACATTTAAACATGACTCTTAACTGTGCTGTGTTGTGCGTGTGTGTGTGTGTGTGTGCTATGTGTGTGTGTGTGTGTGCTGTGTATAAGTATTTGTTTTCAATCCCTTGTGTTCAAGTTTTGATTAACGTTTTTATATAGTTTGCATTGGAGTTTACGTATATGTTAGTATTTTTGTAGAGCTGAGCGGTAATATTTCCATTTTGTTTTTAGTTTTTGTAAAATTCTTGAGGCATTTTGGGTTGCTGTTGTTGTTGTTTTATGTTATCTTTGGTTGCGCTTTTGTAATGAGTTTTAATTCAACTACTCGTATATTTAATAGATCTCATAAAATCCCTGTTTTTGTGTCTCTCCCTCACTCTTAATTCCCCCTATTTTCCTTGTTGGGTCTGTTGTCAGTTGGTACGTCTTTAGACGTGTATCTCGAAATAATCATGACAATCGACACAGCCGCCTGCCTGATCGCTGCCCATGTCGGGCATGTAGCCAATGCCACCGCTGGCTGTGGGCTGTGTGCTAACCACCATGCCGGACACCCCGCTTAGGCCACGTGGCGTCTTCTTCCGCGTGCGACTTTGCCGCACGCGGGACTTATGCTAGGAGGGTCGCTTCTGGTACAGACAGTCAATGCATGTGGTATATTCGGGCGCCGAGGAGCTCATCTGATAGACCGACTGCTGTGCCGGGTCATGCTGGCAACTGGGCGGCGGCGGCTGTCCATAGCCCATATCCATATCCTGCATATAGGTAACCATGGGCATGTATTGCTGTGGCGCGTGCCTGGGAAGCGCATCATAGATGGGCTGCGAGAAGGTATTCTCCGCTGACTGGGAGCGCAGCGGACCGGAGCTATAGACGACATAGTTGCGTTCGGGCGAGACGCCATAGGGGCGATACGAGCTGCTCGTGGTGGTGCTGTCACGCGAGGTGGAGCGCTCCAGGGACTTGCTGAGTCGACTGCGTCCATTCCCAGAGCCATATCTGCTTGTGGTGGGCGCGGCGGCCACATAATGATCGCTGCAAGTTTGATTGTCATAGACCGGATAATACTGATATGTCTCCTGGGCGTGCGGCTTGTTGCCCGTCTCAAAGCTGCCGTGGGCAGACATGCTGCGCTTGCGTGATCCGCTGCCGCCGCCGCCGTAGGGAACATCCAGATTATGATCGGAGCCGCCGTGGCTATCAAAGCTGCTGCGCGGCGAATGGCGCTGGCAAATGCTGGCGCGATCCGGCGACAAATGATCCACACTGCCACGCGGCGAGATGCGTGGCGACAACGTGGTGCTTGTTGTCTCCATGGCACATACATGCGAGGCGCCGCCCTTCTTCAGGCAGCTGCGATCGGGACTCTTTGACTTGGCTGGGCTGGCCGGTGGCTTCAGTATGCCCGCGCCAGGACTTGTGTGCTTTAAGATGCCACCGCCACCCTCGGAGCTGCGACGTGGACTGGGCGTCCGTCGTCCGCTGGAGAGGCGATCCTGCGAGTTCTCGCGACTGGAGCAGATGCTCAAACGTTTGCCCTGGTCGCTGACGCTGTTGCGTGGCGATTTAATCTTAATGATGCGCACCGGAGAGCTGCCCTGGGATTTGCAGCGATCTGGCGAAATATAAATGCTCTGACGCTTGCCCCCTTTTGGCTTGGCGCCGCCCGCAGCAGTTGCTCGTTCAGGGGACTTGGCCTTGAACAATTTGTCCACCTTCTTGTCGATGACAACAATGTGGGAGGCCAGCGAGCTGGTTGGCTCATCCTCGGTTTCATCGCCAGACCGCTCCGATGGCCCAGTTGTGTTGCCGCCAGTGCTGTCCGATTCGGTGGCAGGTCGACTCGAGGGCGACTCAATGTCCACGGTCACGATCTGCTGTGTGTTCTCCACAATGGTCTGTGGCTCGGGCGAGAGGCTGGAGTCGTTTTGCTGCTGATCAGCAGCCTCCTCACCGCCATCCGCTGGCTCAAAGGCCTTCTCGCGCAAGTTGGCCATGTAGGCGGCTATGTCACAGATGCCCGCTGCCAGATCCTCCTGCTCCAGCTCGCACAGATGCTTGTCCATGAAACGCGTGGTGGCATCTGATTCGGTCACATGGCCAGTGGCTGATCCGTTGTTGGCGTCACGTTCGCGACGCTTGTGCTGCGACTCCGCTGTGCTCCTAGAATGCTGATGCACCACGGCCACCTGCTGAGAGGCGGCCAAACGCTCCGATTCGCTCTCAAAGATCTCAATTACCTCGATCTCCTGCTTGGGCGATTGACGCGGCGACTGTCGCGGCGACAAATGTCTCATGGTCTGGCTCTGAGTTTGGGTCAGTGTCAGTGTCTGGTTCAAAGTCGGATTCGGATTCGTATCGCTACAGATTGTTGCTGCAAACAATCTACTACTACTACCTAGGCTTAAATTAAACGTGGCTGCCACGTTTGCGGCATGCGCCTCGGATTCCGAATCGTGCTCGGATTCGCTGGCAACTATATCTAGGCTGATCTTACCTAGATCCTTCATCAGCACCGGCTGATAGCTGGCCGGCGGATGCGATGATTGTATCAAGCGCGCCTGGCTGCCAGTGCTGCCCACCGAGAGCGTCGATGTGGTGCTAAATGATAAAATGACACAGAAAGAGAGAGAAAAATAGCAATAAGTCAAGCAATAAACGAGCGTTACGAGGATTATAATAATTAACAGTTAATATAACTAACTACCTATTAAACTAGTCCCAACTGCCGCAACATTAGGTTAACAGAACAATGTTATTGGTTGACTAGTTTTTAAACTGTGTTTGAACTGAACATTGGTTCAAATCGCAATTATAACATACTTTTTAATATCAATCGTAGCAAATAAGTTGCGCAAAGCACATCAGTTGAACCAAAAGCTGAGTTCAAGAACGTAAAAACCAGTTTTCTGAATCGTACCAAAGGGCAGAAGCTGGTTCAAACCGTAAGGCGAACTACAGACATATTATTGCTGGGTTTACAGCCCTGCTAATTAATCGAAATGAACCAAACTTTCAGTTTTACAAACTAAATGGCAGCAGCATTACAATTATTGCAAACTTTCGGGCTTTCACTTTTTTTTTTTCAATTATATTTAATAGCTAGCTGCCAAATTACTAGCTAGGGTTGAGCAAAGGCAACTGAGCGAGAGCTTTGGGACCTACCTGAGCGTCAGGTGATTGGGCGTGCGGCCCAGCGTAGCCTTGGGCCTGATTGTGCCCTGCTGTGAATCCTCCTCGCCCTCTGATTTGGTGCCCGGATCGATGCGTTCAATGTCGCTGCTGTGATGGTGCAAATGCGGCTGCCTTATGGGCGGCGGCGGTGGCTCGCGCGGATGCGGATGTGGATGCGGCGCCACCGACTGTTGCACAAGCTGCTGCTGTTGCTGTTGTTGTTGTTGTTGTTGCTGCTGTGGCTGTTGCGGATCTATGGAGGTGTAAATGATTTCTATATGAAGCATGAAGCGATGCAATGATGTGCATGTTTGTGTGTCATTAGCATTATTTGCCAGGCACGTGAGACGCCCGCAATCGACTGCAGCTCAAACTCACCTGTCACATCACCCAGGGTCTTGCTGCGACTGCGAAAGCCGCCCGGCTGCTGCAGCTGCTGTGCGTGTGAGAGTGGCACATAGTGCACCACACCGGTCATATTTGGCGGCAGCTCATCGCCCTCCTGGCTGCCTGACAGATTGTCGTAGTCAATATTGCCGGCCGAATGACGCTGTGAGCCGGACTTCTTCTTTGGCTTGCCCAGCGTATGAGAACCTTGAACGATGGTGATCTGAGAAAAACAGCGAGTTTAGCAGCTGGCATTGGGATTGGGTATTATAAGTAGCTGTTAGTTTACCTGCTGCTTGGGCCGCTCCAGCGTTTGCGAGTTGCCCGCATAGCCACCTAGCTGGGAGGATAGACCCGAAACGGAACCCGAGCTGCCGCCAAAGTTCTTCATGGGAATTGACATGTTCCGCACGCTTTCGCGTATTATTTGCCTGATCGTCTTGAGGAATGCATTGCGAAAATCGGCGGTGCTATTCGACAGCACATAGACCTTCTCAGAGCGGCGCTGCAGCTGCGAACGCAAGTGTATTAGCTCCCAGAGGAAGTGCGAGTCCATGTCCTTGGCAGAGCTGGCGCGCACCTGCACCTCGGTGACGGGTATTAGCACCTGATACCGTATAATTTCGACCTCGTTTGGTGCATTTTTGCTCGAAACGCCCTGTGTACGATAGCGAGCATGAGATTGGACAGGTTTGACAGGGGAGAGGGGGTAATTATTCGTGGTGATTTACTTACCATTAGCTTTTTCTTTTGACGCAAACGCTCTTTGCAGAGGAACACAACCGCCGATTTGAATACAAAGCACATGGCATGCAGTTCCAGGCCTTTCTTGATCTTGCCCAGAAAATCGGAAATGTTTAGCCACTCGACGCCGCCATAGTAGAGCAAATCGCCTGGGAATGCGCAGCATTGCGGGGGAGGAGCATTTGCATTGGCATTTGAAGCTGATGTAGCTATTGAATGCTTTTGCTGTAACCCACCTGGACTCAAATCGATTGGCTGCTTGCATGACTTCTGATGCTGTCGGAATAGATGGTCAAATATAGCGCCATATTCCTCATGGATGCGTTGCATCTCATTTATGTGCTCCGCCACCTTCTCCATGCCCTTGAGCGCCTCTGTTGGGTTAAACGAATGGGTTGTAAAATTGCCATCAGTGTGGTGGGTTGGGTGTGGCATACTTACCGCAGAGATGGACGTGCTCGTCGGCGCGCGTATCTGTTAGATTACGCATCTGCTGCAAAAGCAGCGGATACTTGAGTATGCGCTGTATCGGCTTGATCAGATACGATTCCAAGGTGCTGCTGTGCTGCTGCTTGGGATTGCGTGCAGCAAGGAACTCCTGCAGCGCATGGTTGCCCTCGTCTGCATCAAATGAGAAAATTGAGAAGTTTAACAATTGCAGAAATTGACACAAATTTGGCAAATGATTTGATTTCAGTGCACGCTTCAATTGCCATTAATTGCGAACGTTGTTAGAGGCCCGCACTGAAGAGCCCCGAACCAGGGCCAGAGCAGGTGACACAGGGATAGGCTACACGTGCGCAACGTTGACAAGAAAATGTCATTAACTTGTTCTTATAGTCAGCTGAGAAGCTTTGATAAAGGCCATAGTCAAAGCCTGTCTGCTGCACGGATTTGCGTCTAATGGCTGCTTTCTCTACCTCCCTCCCTCTCCCATCCTGGGCACCTATTCCTGCTTTTGCCAGCCTGCCTGCCTGCCTCCCTGCCTGCCTGCTTGTAACGAAGGCACTTAAGTGCACTTCTTGCTATAATTAATTATCCTTTCAACATTTTGCATAAAATTGCATGAAACAGCCAAGCGCAACAGCAGCAGCTCGAGTATCTGCCGTAGCTAAAGCTGAAACTTAAGTTGACACACTGTGCTTCAGCTCCTGCTTCAGTTCCTACTCCAGCTGTTGTTGCTGCTGCTGCTGCTGCTGCTCCTGGCAGTAGCTTTGACTTCCATTGATTGCAAATATTGCAAATTTGTACCTCGACGTTTTGCTGCTATTGTCATTAATCAGCTACTTTGTTATGAAGTTGTAAAGCATTCACCACATCTACAACACTCACTTTCATTCTCTTTGTTCCTTGCAGAGGGTTTTATAATATTATCAGGTATTGTAGTTATAAGTATATCTCAGAGTCTTTGAAGTCACCTCCAGTCTGTTTCCATGCCAACATATCTTTAACTTTGAAACTATCTTCACGAAGAGCTGTTCAGTATCATCCTTTATATTATAAAGCTATGAATCACAAATTAAGTTCTTGAGTGATATATTATATTTTTTTAAATATCATTTATTTATATACTATATCATATAGCTCTTATAGGAACAATCGTGTCATTTGCAAGAAAGCTCCATTAAAAATCAGTCAAAATATTTAAAAATTATATTGAAAATCAATTGCTTTAATAGCTGTCAAAATAAGGGTATTTCAACTGCGGCATACCCGGGCATATCTGGTACGCTCTTGTTTGCTCTCTTTTCCATCCGTTTCTCATTTGTGGCACTTGTGTTTGCTCGAGTGTTTTTAAGCTGCCACTAAGTCTAATTTAATTATGACATGTTGTCGCCTAAGCCAGAGTCTGGAGTCTGCAGGTCTCTCTAGTCTGCACTTTTTCTCCTATTCCCGTGTCGCAGCTGCTGCTCCAGCTGCCTTTCATGGGGACACTGCCAGTGGCAACAGCGCGACATAGTTTTTGGCAGCCCTGCGCGGTCCCCATTTGCGAACGTGTCATAATTCTACAAGTTTAATTAACAAAAGATACTTGACAGCTTCTGTTGCTGCTGCTGCCGCTGCTGCCATGGCATGAATATGAATATGCCACGCCTTGCCGCGCCTGCGCCTCGTATCTTTGCATTTGCGGTTGTAATTATTCATTTAACTTGCAAATCATTTAAAGGCGCGGAGGCGTGTTGCGAGAGTTTCGGCAGCCGCAGACAACAATTGAAGCGCATAGTTTGCCAATTGTTCGGAACTTGTCGCTTGTTTGACTTTTACAACTTTCACGAACAACCCACCACCGCTCCCCGAACCATGCACCCACTCGCATCAAACTTCAAACTCAAATAGACTTTGACGCTTCACGCTGATTGCAATAGTTGAACTCACACCAAGCACAAACACACACACACATCCACACACACACACATACATAGAAATGGCTCATAATATATGTATTTATGCATATGGCAAACACTTTTCTTTTGATTTCTCACACGTCACGTCCACACATTTGCCTCTCAGTTGCGTTCGCTTTGGTTTTAAATTTTATCCCCATGCAAATTTTTGTACAAAACAACCTACAAGCAGGCTGCAGTTTTTTATAGCGGACTACCAGGCGTATGCGAAGTCAAATGGAATTGTATCAATAACTAAATTAAAATACAATATATAGACAACAGAAATCATATTAGAACAAAATTTTGCGATTTCATTTTCGTAGAAATAGTTCATGAAATTTGAAAAGTTAACTTAATTATAATAACATTTTGAATGGAAATCTATTCAGTTTTGACAAAAGCTTGGTATCTTTGGCAGTTGTATGAAATTTAAAGACAATTGATATGTGTACTTACTTGGATGCAAAACTTTTTGGGCCTTGCTGTGGCTGGCACAGAACGAGGAGTACAGCTTGAAGTGATTGACATAATAGAGAAAAGCGGAGCCGATTGCAAACAGGACGTTCTGCAAAAATCAAGAAAACACACAGATATTAAACATTACGAATATATATAAAAAATGTATTTAAAAGTGCAATTAGACAGGCAAGTCACGCACTGGCAGGAACTCGGAAGGGAACTGGAACTTACCCTAAACTGACCGCAGTGCTCGAATTTATTGAATTCCGGCTCAAGTTCGAGCGCCTCCTCGAGATTCTGCAGGAACTGGCGCTGGAATGTGACAATCTCGTGTATGTTGCCGAAGAGCGCATTAATTTCCGCATTCGATAGAAACGTTTCGCGTTTCATGGGCTCCAGATAATGCTCGAGCAGATTGTTCAAGTGCTGCATACGAAAATAATTCAAACGTTGTTGTTGTTCAATAAATTCAAATTTGTTGACACATAAAAAATGAAAAATGAGAAGAAAGCAACAACACAAAAAAAAAAGATGCATAAATTAAATTAAAAAATCAGCAGCAGTCGCCCAAAAACGACAACTGCCCACAACAGCAGTGCCCTGCCCCCCTCCAACGAGCTCCCAGCTGGGTTGAGCTGGTGACCGGTTCCTGGTGCTCTGGTAGCTACCAGAACACCAGAACTTTTTAGTTTGCCAACGCAGAGAAGCAGAAGAAAATAAAGTAAATAAAAATATGGGCGAAAAAACTGTAGCATAGCCGCAGGCGCGCGCTTTCATTTGGAACAATACTTCCGGCCAGCGGATAGAGGGAGGGTGGAGTAGAGTGAAGGGGGAGTGGGCAGTCGGGTTACAGCGAGAGATAAGACTCGCCAACGTTGCGGCAGCGGCGCGGCGCTTTACATAATTTCTAAATTATAATAATTATTTGTATGCTTCCTGGCCAACTCGGGCGGCCATGGCTTAAAGCCAGAAACATAGCCGCATGGTTAAAGGATTAAAATTTGCATTTTTAATTGCAAGCCAGGACTAATGAATGGAATGTGTAATGTTGGCCAGCAAGGACAGCAAGAAAGTAGCCTTAACTTTGCTTTCAAGAAGTCTAAATACCCTGATAGTTTCTTGCTGTGGCAGGTGTACTATAAACTAAGGTAGTAAATAAAGTAGTCTCTGATCTGAACAAGTTTTGCTAATAATATGGCAACTATTTATCTGATTTATGTATAATTGCAGCAGACGGACGAGGCGGATAAGTCAAATTTCTTTGACGCTTAGAACTCGGCTTATAAGTATTATATACCCAACCTGCAAACAGAGTTTAGGCTGAACCGATTCCTAGCCGGTTTCCCAACTGATCTTTTACTATATGTTAAGCCCTGAATCGAAACAATTGCATAGAAAAGAAAAATAGACAAACCGATCCAAAATAAAAAACTAATGAGACAGAATTAGCCGCATAGTCAAAATATGTTTGCCATTTATCTAACTAGTTGGAAATTTTGGCTTTATTTAACTTTTAGCCCGCATCTTGTATATGAGAATATTTATAGCGTGCAATATTCTCAGTACAATGGGCAATTGTCTATTTAAAATTTAATTGATTCATTTAAAGTTAAAAGCAAAAATATATATATCCCCAAACAAGGTTTACTTCAAGAACCGAAACTCAAGGCAGCCCCTTTTTTAGCCCTGATCTATACATATGCTTTTAATCTCATGCTTAATGACAAATTGCAAATACCTGCAGCAAGTGCATACAAAAGTTTGTCAACAAATTGAATAGAGTGTGAGCATGGGCATGGGGTCTATGACTCTGGTACTCACCTTAACGTAGGTGCGCTCCGTGTCCACCAGCTCCATGATGACTTTGCGCAGTTTCTCGGCATCGGTTAGTTGGCGCGACGGTGTCAGCGCTGTGGTCGAGACCGACGATGTGACTGAACCCGTGGGGCTCGATTTGCGTGTTTCCTGAGGTGAACGACAAAATCCGGTAACCTTAACAGGTCAGGGTTCGGTTGGGTTGGTTGTTGATTGTGTTGTGTTGTTGTGTTTGTTGTTGTTATTATTGTTGTTGTTGTTATTGTTGCATGATGAGGATCGTGAAACGAAAGAAACGAAACGAAAACGAGCGAAGCGACCACACAAAAAAGAGACACCAAAAATAAATGACAATAAACAAAAATGAAGTTAGCATGACAGAGATAGATAGACAGCGATAGTTAAGAACAGGACATTGGAGTAGGTGGGCCGGTGGGTCGGTGGGCGTTAGACGTTGGGTGTGGCAGCGGGTCAGGGGGCTGTGTCCCGGGTCAAACTGTTGGCATGGCTCGTTCGGCTGCTGCTCTGGTTCGGGGTTGGTTTTATTGTGCAACTCGCGGCGGCCACTTTAAACAGACAGACATAAACGTAGCCCCAGCGTCCACGACGTCAGCTGCGGTTCTAAATGACTGTCACGTCCTTGTCGTAAGTCCAAGTTGGGGGCGCCGTTTGCTTGTTGTAGTTGTTGTCGTCGTTGTTGTTGTGTTTTGTCCTCGCCAAAGTTGTTGCTGCTGCTGGTGTTGGTGTTTGTGTGCGGTTACAAGCACATTTGGCACTGACAGTTGACGCTTGACGGTTGACATAGAGCGTGTGTGCATACAACTACACCAGACAAATACACGCGCACACACACACACTCACAGACTTAACCACACAACCGCATTTTGCATAAAGTGTAGAGGTGCGCAAATCTTCAGCCTTCTTATGTCACTTGCACAGTGGTTTTAGGTCTCTCAGCTTTTCATTTTTGTTTAAGTCTTCTTTTTATTTATTTGATTTACTTATTTTTTTTTTTTGGTTTAACTTTTGTTATTATATTTATTTTGTTGTTGCTGCTTTTTGGCTTAGGCAAAAGTGTTAAATGGCGCGTTGACCGGAACTGAGTTAAATTGACTTGCCACGCCCAGCAAAATATTGTCCGAATTTGCATTGTAAATGCCTAAACAAATATTTTTATACGCCTTACGGTGCCTGGGAATGTGTGTGTATTTGAGTGCTGTGCAATTTGCAAAAGGTCAAAGTTTAAATCAACAGAGCGGTAAACAGCAAAGAGATAGACACAAACAGACACAGACACAGACACAAATACAGACAGAGACAGGGATTGAGAGCTGGCGCATAAGCCTTACCACTGTACTTGACAGCGCTCAAAATGCGTGTTGTTCTTCAAGGAACAGACGGCCACTGGCGATGACAGCGTGATTGCGTCAAAGGTTTAAGTGGGCGCTGGTTTGCACTTGAAGATATCTGAGATATTCATTTAAACACAATTGAAATTTAAATATCAGTTTCAAGCAGATGACAGCCAAATTCAAATGCTCAATAATTAAATACTCAATAAACCTAATTTTAAGTTATCTTTCAGCGGCAGTTTCTTACGAGTTTCTTCAATTTTTCTACAAATTGTATTCATTCAATATGCAAAGAATAAATACTTGTTTCAGCTGCAGTTTCTATTGGTTGCTGGCGCCATCTGTTGGCTGCATGCTTAAGCTAAACAGCCGTTTCCGGCTAATGAAAACATTTTTCCGACTGCTGTTTGAAATGAAAATAAACAGCCGGAAGCTATAAAATAACTGTAAGTTTTGTTGATACTGGTTACTTGCGAATATTTAAAGCTAGCTTTATCTATCTATGAATAAAGTTTAGTTAATTGATATGCAAATTTGCATTTTCCTTGAGAAGTTACAAATTAACCGAAAGTCAAATTTTATTTGTCACTTGTGTACTTTTTATAGCTGGCGCCATCCATTATCCGAAATGCAGCCACATTTTATGGCAGATTTATATTTGTCTTCAACAATTTTTGCGTTAACGCGAAATATGGCTGGAAACCTCTTTTGCATATAGATTTTAAGCTGAACTTTTTTGTCGTGACTGACAGTTTTGTCACGTTTCATCCCTAAAAACACACAAACACACACACAAAGACACGCAGAGGCACACTTGAAGACTTTGCCATGTAGTTGCAACAACAATCTCATGAAATTTCAGTTGTCATTGTTCGTGCAACATTCAGTTGAATTGTTCTTGTTGTTGTTTGTTGTTGTTGTTGTTGCTGCTCGTTGGCATTGTGGAAGACATTTCACTTTTATGCAGTTGCACTTTGTGTATTATTATTTCCTTCTCTCTCTTGACGTTTCTTCTTTGCTGTTGTTGTGCAGCTTGTTCTTGTCTACTTTTAACTGTTTTATTGTTCTGCATTTCTTTCAGTTGCAACGTCGACGGCTGCGTCGCTGATTTGCATAAGCGGCGTCGGCAGCGACGGCGGCAGCGACCCAAAACCAACAAAGAGTAAGACACAAAGGGCCATGGGCGGGAGGGGCGGGGCGGGGCGGTGCTGGGGTGCTGGCTGGCATGCCGTGGCGTGGGTTTAGTGCCAGGTGAGCGGCTGAGGCAGCCTATGGGCCAGCTGCTGAGTGCCAACATTGTTGTTGCTGCTGCAGCTGTAGCTGCTGCTGGCGTCATGCCCCAAAGATGAAAAATTTGAAAATTTCTTGAATTTCTTGGTGAGCTGCAGCCGCCGCTGCTGCTGTTGATGCTGCTGCTGCTGTGCGAAATGTCAACTTGAATTAAAAGGATTCTTATGTAACGCCCTGACTCTCCAGTTGCTGTCTCGCCTGGCAGTTGCATGTGTGTGCGTGTGTCTGAGTGTGTGTGTGTGGCTCGGTCTCAGTGTGTTTGTGTGTCACAGTGTTCAAGTATCATTAAATGAAGTGGGTTTCTGCCAGTTTCGAGCACACTTGGGTAAAGCATATCCAGAAACAAAGTGCATTCTGTGGCGTCTTTGCGTTTCTTTCTCTTGTCTCTTGTCGCTTCACTCGCTCTCGCTCTCGCTGTCGCTCTCTCTTTCTCTGTCGCCTGTCTTTCATAGCTGTTGTTGTGAATATATCCTTGATATTTTTATGCCAGCACATTTCTATTTGTGACGTTTATTGTTTGGTGACTTGCAAGCAACAAGACCCAATAGGCCAAATTTGTGGCACGACATCTTGAGCGTCAACCAGCTACTGACAACCAGCTGCAGCTCGAAGCCCTCTCAGAGACTCGCAGCTGCTTACCAAACCATAACGGCCCCATATGAAGTCCCCGGTCCGCCGTCGTCTCATAGCTTTAGCAAATTTCAAATTGTGCACATTTCAATCAGAAGTGCACAAACCCCCAGCCGAAGCTCAAACCACTTCGCCCCCCCACCCTTGCCAACCACACGCCATGCGTTGCCGCCTCGTGTTTGGCGCTCGTTTTAATAGTTTCCGTTTCCGCTTAGCGAGTTCAAAGCAATTGGAACTGACTTTGCCCGCTGCCTTAGCCGGTGTCAGCCAAGTGCCAAGTTCCGTTCCCAGCGCCGGGTTTGAATGTTCTTGGATGTCAGGTCTAGGGGTCAGGGTATTATTTTTTGTTAATTTTTTTTCGGGTTTCAGGGCAGACGGGTTTAACGTGTTTGCGTTTTGTTTCTTCTTGGTCATGTTTATATTATATATATAGGGAGAAAGAGACAGAGCGAAAAAAAGGGGACAGACAGAGTACTAGGCACTTACTTGTTCCGCGGTCTTTAGCAGATTCTCAATTTCAAAGCTGCTGGTGCGCGAGGTTGGCTTGGCCACGCCCAATGCCGAGACGCCGCCGCCTGCGCCAACTGCCAATTGCGCCACAGTTGGCTCCACAAATGAGGGCGCCGGCGAGCTTTCCGCCTCCGGTGAATACAAATCCTTGCCAGTGCCATCTAGAGTAAAGGAATGTATTTGTTGGATAACAGTTAGTTATGTTTATTATTATTAGTTTTTGGCTAGCCCATAATTAGTTGCCAGTTGCCTCTGGGCAATAGTCTGCCTGCAGTTGTTGTTGTTGTTGTTGCTGTTAATGTTGGCGGGGGGCCAGTTTTAAAGTTCGATTAAGCATTTTATTTATGTTGTTGCAGCTTGTTTGTTAATTTTAAATTCCATGTTTGCGCAATAAAAAGCAGCAGGAATTTAATACTTGCGGAAATGGCGCCCAAAAAAGAAAGCAGCAACAAAAAAGAAAAAAATAAGAAACAAGGAAACAACAAAAACAACCCAGCCAGGCGGCACAAAGCTGAAAGTAATAACAACAAAAATACTGCCAGCAGCCAGGAACAGCAGCAGCAGCAGCCACCAAGCAGCCAAAAACAACAGCAGCAACAAGAATAACAACAACAGCCACAACAAGCTGTAATGATTATTGCTGCTATGTGTTTGCCACAACGTCCACACAAGCAAGGCAGAGCGAAGGGGCATTGCAGAAGGTGGAGCATGCAGGGGCGCATACACGCAACACACACACGCACACACATATGCAGGCGCGGCAAAGATTTAACCAACAAGAAAAAAATTTATGGGCCATACACATGGCATGTATACATATGTAAGCAGCAGTATGGCTATATATAAATACATATATACATGTGTGCGTGTGTGTGTGCGTGTGGGTCGGCTTATGTAGTGGTAGTTTTGGCAGCGCCAGGAAGCGTTTAAAAATCATGTCCTTGAATGCCGCCACCGCTGTCCCCTTGGCCACGGTCTGCCACATGCAAATTGGTTACAACAAATTTTATGAACATTTTGCTTCAAATTTGACACCACATACTAGCTAGGCGCGTGTGTGTGTGTGTTCGTTCGTGTGTGTGAGATATTGAAATTGCCGCCTTATAAATTTCAACTTGCGGTCTTCTTACAAATTGCACGTAGTGCTCCAAGGCAGAGCTAGGCAACAAATACAACAGCAAGAACAACAGGCTGGGGCTAATAACTTCTAGACGTGGTTCGTTCGTTGTTTGTTGTTGCTGCTGTTGGTCATTTAAACGACCAAGTCGAAAACGTGCATTGCCCATAAAGTCTAGAGTTTTAGTGGCTTTACTTAAACTATGATGTTTTTTTCGGCGGGGCCAAGGAGCACAACTTTATGACGCGTGCCGAGCTGGTAGCTATTTGCCAAACGTGAGGCTGTTAAAAAGTATAGAATGCTTTAGGGTCAGGTGAGCAAGTGCCACCTGGACGCTTTTCTTTTTGACAGCTATTGATGGCTCAAAGATATTTAACCTACTGGATTATATAAAGAGATGATGTTGCGCACAAGCTGGCTGCTTTAAAAAAGTGAGCTGACATCGAGCTGAGATACTTATAGCTTGAAGATAATTCTCAAGATTTGTGATTTACAAATTTAATTTTATTGCTGTTGGCTGTCATATGATAAAGAATTTACTCTAAGCCAGTTAAGAGCTAACATCTAAGACTTCTCGAGACGTTCACACAGTTTTACAAACAGTTATCTATAGCTATAGCTACGGGGGCTTGAAACGAACCGATCTGGAATTCGAATTGGTTGTTAATAAAGAATAAAACTTTAAGCAAAAGCTGTTTTTAATAAAAGAGCCGAGCTGAAAGGCGATATAGCTTTGAAAACGATTTGCCTTTAAAACTGTTGAAAATCTACAGCAAAACTACATTTCTACCAGAACCTGGATGGATGACGAGCCAAACTCCAATGCAGAAAGTCGGTTCGAACTCTGAACTGAACCAGCGACAATTTGAAGCTTGGTTTGCAGCCCTGATACCCACTCAATTATCTGCAACTGCTCTGATACAAGTACTTCGGGGGACTTCAAGGCACTTCAAAGGGAGCTAATTGTGTGCCTTGGCTCGTGATTAAACAGCATAAAATATGATAATTAAAATTGTTTCGATTACTCCGCAATGCTTGTGGCTCTTTCGTTAATTGGTTTGCACAGCATAAAAATTGTGTAACTCTTGACCAGCGCATGTTGTGCATGTCTACAGCTTGCGCTTCTCTGATTGCAGTCTTCAGCAAATTGTGCATTTAATAAGCTAAAAGTGCTTCAACATCAAGTTGCATGCCCCTTGCTGCTGCTCCGTTGCCCAAGTTCCTTTCTCTGTTTAATTGCCAAAGTGAAATGTAATCCAGTTTTTTTTCTTTTATATATACGCTCTACCCTGCACCCCAAGCCTGCGTCTGCCCCAACTACCATTCATGTTGAATGGCAAACGATTTTTGTTGCATATGCCGCCATATCCATAACCCATATGCCACAAATGTCCGTTCGTCAGCACACTGAGTATGTGCGAACGTGTGTGCTGTATGTGAGTACTGTATGTGTGTGTGTGCCAAAATGTGGAATATGGTACAAAATACGCAACGCTCACACACAACCAATACATGTGCCAGTTGCATGCGAGTCGTTTAATTTTTGCTACATCTTTTTTTCTACTTTTTTTGTATTTTTTTATATACGTTCTGTTCTTGTTGTGTGTATTTTATTTTAATTCTTTTTTAGTTTGCTGTGCCTTTTAATTGTTTGCCGCATAAAAATGTTTCATTTTGTGTATAAAATACACACACGCACACACACATCTGTTGTACTTGTTGTTGTATTCTGCGTTTGTTGGTTTTTAATTGTTTTGTGTTCTTAGCCACTTCGGCTTTTTGAGTGCACTGCAGCGTGTGTGTGTGTGTGTGCGTGTATGTGTGTGTGGTTGTGTGTGTGAGTGCAGTTTGTAATCCTGTAATTATGTAGTTGTTGCTGAAAAGCGAAACGACTGCGTGTGGCAAGCAGGCAGGCAACTCCCACCACACACACAGACACACGCACACAACTCTGCTTGCTGCTACCCTTCCGCTCTCTCTCACTCTTTTTCACTCTGTCTCTCTTCCTCTCGCACACGGTTAGCATGCTACTTATTGAAGTAAATGTTGTTGCTGTTGCATGTTGCATGAAGCACTTGCAACATGCATTTAACAAAAAATATAAATTACTTTAATGAACTTTAGAAATTCGCATGCGCGCCGGAAATGCGCTTTACGTTTCCGCTGCTGCCGACACAGTACACACACACATCTAAAAAGAGAAAGAGAGCGAGAGCGAGAAAGGCACACCGCACCTTAACCACAACAACAAGAACAACAACGAGCACAACTGCCGTGATTAGTATGCTTTTGTTGTAGCCGTAGATGTATGTTGTGTTGCGGCTTTTAAATGTTGAAAAACGACGTAAACAAAATAAATTCCACGCACAGTTTTAGTTTGAAGCCAGACCAAAAGTATTTTTAGGGCTTTGTGTATAGAGAGAGGGGGTGGGTGGTAGTGGTTACTTACTCCAACCGGGCGCTGGCACAATCAGTCCAGTTATCATCTCCTCGCTCATCACTGGCGGATCTGTTGGCGGCGGCGGGCACACCAGAGAGTCAATCATATCGTCCGTCACACGCATAATGCCTACTAGATCTGGCGGCTCGGTGCGTGACGAGCTGCAAAACAAATATATAAAATTAAAGCTTTTTTTATTTATTTTTATTTTTTTTTAAATTTACATAAATTTTTATTAAATTTGAGTTCTGGTTGGGTTTGCTTTGCAGTCGTTTTTTTAAAGCAAACACCTGGCTGACCTTTTTCTATGTCAGTGGCAAAAGATGCGGAAAAATGCTCTCCAACGTGCATAATTTGAATGGGATTTGAGCAGGGCACGGGGTACGGGGTACGGGTAACGGGCGGCTTGTTTACTGGGCATGGGCTACAGTTTGTTGCCTCGCAAACGCTTAGCACAAAAGCCAATGCGGCCATAAAGAGCAGCTAATTAGGCTATCAAAATGCCTGGGTCCGCGACTGCGACCGTAGTGGGGTCGTCGTCGCAGTAGCTGAGCCAAGCAAGCGCCCAAAAAAACCCCCAAAATCTACACCCTACGCTACCCCAACCCATGTTACCCCTACTTTAACCCTGCCCGCAACAAACCCACTCCATGAGCTGCTGCTGCTGCCGCATGGAGGGAAGTGGTTAACGTGTTTCTGTTCATCTGCGGCTTTAGTTTTGTTGTTTGGACTTTGTCATGAAAATTGAAAAGCGAAATATTGAAAGCTCGGAAAATTGTTGGTCGCTGCCATTTTTGGTGCTAAATTTTACCATTTTTGATTTGTTGCCAAACAATTTTTGTCAGTGTGTGTGCGTGTGTTGGTTGTGTCTATGTGTCTATGGGTTGGCTTCATCCAACTGCTTATCAAAAATTTGCTAAAGCTTGTCAAATGTTGACATATTTGGAGGTTTTTCTATTTTTTTTTTCTTTGCGTCATTTTGAAAGTTTTTTATGTGCGGTATTTAATATTAAACGAGCATGTTGGCTGCCATAGAGGTTGGGATTGTAGCAGACACAATTTTGGGGTTGCGGGAGTTGAACTTTACAAGAGAGCTAAATGTTAAAATTTAAGATATATATACTGAGCATGAGTTTGCTAAAAATAGGCACCGGACTAGTGATACAAGGTCCCATTAGAAAAATTTAATTGATTTTTCGAGTGCCATAACAAAGCCGGAGCTGTCAGAAAAATGCACTATGGAGCCAAAGGCAGTATATTTATTATTTATTATATGCATGTGGTTTAGTTGGGCTGTAATGGACGTTATTATTTTTTTTAAAAATACCCTTGAAGCTATTCTATTTGACATAAATTTAATTCAGTATTTTTCTGAGAAATGTTCTCTATTAAAAAGTGCTCATGTAATACATGTCCTTTCATAGTTTCATAGTTCATTATTTAATTTGTGTAAATCACAGATAAATACAACAATTACTTTCGTTCTTGTTGTATGTTTTCTCTTCAATATATATAAACTTTAATATATGAATAGTCAAAGCTACCTCAACACAACTTTAACTAAGGTTAAACGCTTATTGTTATTGCACCGCATTAAAGTTAATTCCAAAATAAAGCACAAATTTGACGGAGCTGGTTGCCATTTTGTGTGCTATAGATTTAATATGGACAGGCTGCATAGAAGCAATTGTGTAGTTAATCTGAGTGTAACCAATTGTTATTGTAACTGATCAACTGAGGCACTAGTATGACGGTAAATGGCATTGTAAGTAAAACAATTGCTCGCTAGCGGCTAAGATAGTTAATTAATCTGTATATCTATTTAAACAATGGGCAACCACATCGAAATACGTCAATAGCAATGTGTGTATTGTCAATAGAAATAGAAATGCAGGGCAAAGTGTGTGGGCAGAGGAGTGGGGGGTTCTGCACTTAACTTGCATTCAAGTCAACAGATGTTTGCGAAACGTGCGAGATGCAGACAATTTACAGGCAAAACCACGAACAGGCAGCGACAGGGATAGGGACAGGCACAGGGACAGGCAGGAGCACAAAGGACTAAAGCAACTTACCGCATCATCATGCTGAGCGATTGCTCCTCCTGCAGAACGCTCTCCAAGTACATCATATCTAGATCAGAAACAATCGCGCCATTGATGACCATTATTTCGTCTCCTTTGATAATGCCTGTGCAATGAAATAAAGACAGAAACTGGAGTTAAAAGCAAGTTATGTTACGTTTATATCTTAACTATTTTATAATAGATGCATAGCTAGAAGGCGCACAATGTAGCTTTGTTTTTGCTTGAGGTAAAGAGAAATTTAATAGATGCGCGTTGTTATTGTGTTTGTTTGCTGTGGCAAAGGGAAGTGGGCGGCGGGGCGTTGGGTTGGATGTGGCAACTGTAACAGCATCAATTGTGGGCGAGGCAGTGACATCTTTCGTTAAGATAAGCGCCCATGTCTTTAGCTAGCGATAAAAACAATAACAACAGCATTCTAGGTTTCGCATTGTTCATGCGCCACGTTGCCAGTTTAATGTATTGCAGCTTTTCTAGCTCATGTGTGTGTGGGTGTATGCGTGGGTGTGTGTGTGTGTGTGTATCTGTGAGCATTTTCTACAACATTTATTTCGACCAGGCAGCTGCTTCATTTTTGTTTTGTTGCACGTTATCAGTGTTGTTGCAGCTGCAACAACTTCGACAGATATGCACATGTGTGTGTGTGTGTGTGTGTGTGTGTGTGGGTGTGGGTTGTTATCTGCCAGACAGTTGTGTATTTTATGCAAGAGTTTGCTGCACCTTGAACCTGCTGCCAGGCAGCAGCAGCAACTCATGCACAATTTTTGCATTTGTTACAATTTCAAATGGATTTTGCCATACTCTTTTTTTTTGCCAGGGAATTCGTTACGTTTACGTTTACGTTTCGTTACGTTTTGGTGTGGATTATTTGGCTTTGGCTTTGGCAGCACATGCATTAGACAAATATATACTCGACTTGGTATTTATTTTGTTTATTTTGCGGTTACCCTTTTTTCCCCTCGTTCTACTTTATCCTTTTTTTTGGTGGGGAGAGGTGGGAGGCTGCGTTGACAACAGCTTTGTTCTTGGCTTGAGCAAATTGTTATTTCATGTTTGCCAAATACTTTGCCACGCTTGTTTTTCAACACTCGAGTGTGCGGCATGCAACTTTTGTGCACATTCTGCCAGCAGTTGGTGCAACTTTAGCAGCAGTAGTTGTTGCTGCCGCTGCTTCTGCTGCTGCTGCATTTGTGGCCATCATTATTATGGATGGCTCGATGGCTGCTCGACTGCGTCTGTTTGTTAACTGGAAAAAGCCAAGCAAACAGGCGCTGAGTCACAGTCGAGAGCTGCCAGTTGCCAGTTAAGAGTGGCGTGTGGCATGTGGCATGTGGCATATGTGTGGCAAATTGCACTTAAAGCCAACGCGCATTGATTTAAGGCACTAAATTGTTTTTGTGCGCTCATTAAAGCCCCAGCCCGAATTCAAAGACATTTTGGGGTTTCAATTAGCCCAAGAAAAGTGGGCTGCCACAGCATTTGCATTTGCATTTACTTCTGCTGCATTTGTGGTTGTCTCTGTTTTTGTTAAAGGCGAAAATCGGGCTGCCAGCTGCCCAGCGCTGACCAACAAATGCCCTTAAATTGGTCCTTGGCATTTGCTAATAGGCAATTAAATCAATTGTACGTGTGCCTCTCTCTCTTTGTGGCAACTTTCAAGCTGTTGCAACCAACTGGCCATGTAAATTGAAGTGCTTAATTTATGCAGCCACACGCAGTTGTTCAGGTACAGTTTTCGGAACACCCTCAAACAACAGTTTAGGTAGTATTATGTATTATTTGTTGATTTCCCTGAATAATATCCTGTTATTGTCACTGTCATTGTGTTGTGTTGTGCGTGTGTGTTCATACAGATTATAGCAATTTGTTATTGATCGTTTCAATGCACATTTAGCCCTACTAAATATTGATGATGTCTTCTAAGAAGTTCGTCGTAGTTTTTATATTTGCAGCAAATTATAAAAATAAGTGCCTGCTTGGGCGCCATTTCTTTCAGTTTCTGTTCAAAATCGTCAACAATTTAAAGAAAACTTGCTTTTTAATAATAACAGATCTAAAACAACTACTAAGTCTTAAAGAGCCCATAATAACACAATATTTTTAATTATTATAATATTAATCCCTGCTCAGGTGCCATTGCCTTGGTATTTATATTGCGTATGGGTAAATAAATTATGTATGACTATTTTTGCACTTAAAATTTCACTTTAAAGTTAATTTCCATATATTTACAGAAAATAAAACAAGTCCCTGCCCAGGCGCCATTTTATCAATCCAATTTCATAAATAATATTGCGCGGAAAATAATGAAAGCTGTCATAACTTTCATGCAGCACAATATTTTTAAATAATTCAACAAAAATACCTGCTGGTTAATATAAATTCTTTAAATTATGGCTATACTGCCTTAAAGGTTAATTTTACGTAATTCCTTTCATTTATATTCCGCATATCTTGAAATTTCTGTTGTGCACCTGCATTGAAATGCAATTTTGCAAAACCAAAAGAAAAATAAACAAGTAAAGTCATTAGCAAATCTGGCACTTGCTGCGGCACTTTATTTGCTGCTCATTAAATTCAACACCCTGGCAAAAACTTGTCCAGTGGCATTGTTAACGCAGTTTTAAGCCACCAAAAAAAAACTAGAAACAAACAAAAAAAATAGGGAGGAAAAACTTATAGCAAATTATAAACTAACCGCCAGTGGCAGGGCTAACTTTTAAAGTAGTCGCGGACGGGCCTTGGCGCCTGCGGGTGCTGGGCGGGTTCATGTCTCAGTTTTTGCTAACGATTTTCGTGCACATTGTTTTATGGACTTTTGATTCGTTGTTGTCGTCATCGTCGTTGTCGTTGTCGTCGCCATCGTTGCCACATTCGCACTCCACGTGCTTAATGAGGTTTCCGCTGTGAAATTTTCTTTCAGGTTCATCACTTTTGCAAGTGCAGCGTTGCAGTTATCCTGCCAACACCTGGCGGGCCGTAGGGGCGGGCTGAGGTACTGTCAACATCAGGCGACATAATTTAAAGCGCTGCTCGAGTGGCATTTCGACTACAAGCACTTGACTGCAGTTCGCTAGCTGCGCCTGTGCGCCAGGCCAGGACGCATGCAAATGCCAACTTAAGTTGATTTTAAGTGATAGAAAAACAACAAGGTTGGCAAGGGATAAGGGCGGGTGAGCAACGACGTCTAAGATGACGCCCAAAAACCCTTTAAGGACTCAACATGGTGCTATGGCCCTGTGGCTGCCATTACAGGTGCATCCGCTTTATACACGCTTACCCACACACACACACACACACACACACACAGAAAGAGAGAGCATCTTCGAGTGCGCTGCTCATCATCAACGTGATGTCTGCTCGGTCACAAGCGCTGACTTTTGAGTTTTTATGAAGATGCAGCAGTTGCAGCAGGCGCAGTAGCTGGCCCTGAGGAGCTGCTATACAAACTGCTGCTCACTCCAAAGGCTGCAGTTGCTTCATTTCCAACTCCTGCAACTTCAGTGCACCACTTGACTCGCCTCTGTGCAACCAAAGCGAGTTTGCTTAAGTTTTGTGACATAAAAGTGAAAAGCATTTAAATATAAAAGAAGCGCAGTTCTTACACAAAAAAGGCGCATGCAACCGAGCACAATTGAGTGTTCGAGTGCGGCGTGGTGAGGGGAGGGGAGGCGGGACGCTTGGGCGTGCCACTTGATAATATCCTTTGCCAACATTGGGCCGCACATTGTTTCAGTCGGCGAACTGCGGCTGGCAAAGACTTAGTTGGCCTGGCAACGTTTTTGTTTGGCTGGCCGGAAACAGGAAATCATGATGTTTGCCCATTGGCATTGGCCATTTGGCATTTTGTGTCATAAATTGCAAGTGAGTGCACGGAATTGAGCTGAGCTAAGCAGCTGTAGACATTCGAGTGTTATTCCCCTTAAGTACTTACCATTGTGCATGGCGACACTTTTGTCCTCGACGCGGCTCACATAGCAACAGAGCTCGTCCTGCCGTTCGGCATTCTCAATCAGCTCCGCTTCCACCGAGAAGCCCCACATTTGCTCCAATGTGGTGCGCTGCAGCTCCACCTGGTACAGTATTTTCATGCAGACCTCCACAAATTCGTGATTATGTAGCTGCGGTTAAACAAAATACAAAAATTAGCCAAAAAGCCACAGTGCAAAAGAGCTAAAAATAAAAAAAAAAATGTTGAATTTTTTCTTATTTTTCCCTTCCTCCACACCCTTCCCAGTCAGCTTCAATAAATTTTGGCCACGGAAAGTTGTTTTAATTCGCAATTTATTGAGCAGCCAAAAAGTTTCGTACAGCTGCACTTTTGACCTGGCAATATTTACAGCTTGTTGTTCAGCAAAAACTTTTTTAGGGAGTTCTGCTCGCAGTTTTGTTGAAGCACTTTCCTTCGGGCGGGTGTTGGCTGACTTGGCAGTTTGAGAAATGGCATCCTTAGACTAATCGTCTGCTAAGTGGCCACATTTTCGGAGTTCAGGCTTGAGAAGGATGACATCTGCGAACGCCTAACATGTGTGTGGTATACACAAAACTGAGCTGATATTAATCAAATAGCCAAGCTTTTCGAACTTGCAAGCAAATATAATTTTTTAGCAAACAATTTTCAATTATATATTTCAATTTAATTAATTGAAATTGACACTAATTTTAATGGTTATTAAATTGTTTTTCAGATTACGGTGTCATTTGTGTAATTAAAATGGATTTTGTGTCTTAACACGTCCATTGCATTTATAATTGCATTTAATTGTCAATAATATTGTTGCATACTTTTAAGGGCAGTTATTAAAGTATTTTAACTGAAATTCAATCTCTGCTTTGCTCTAGTTGCAACTGTTATTTAACTTGAATCCTAATTCCAGTAAGAAAATCTCAGAAGTCTTTGGTAAATCCGAAACATTTGCACATCGTTTGTGGCAACAAATCGCATTTAATCCTTTGAATTGGTTCACGTTTCTTTTGTCGATACAAGAAAAACCCAACTCCTTAATTGCCCTTAATTTTGAGCAAACAACAAATACATGCGCAAAGTTCAAAGTTCAATCGAAATTGCCACCCACACACACAAACAGACACACACCCACAAGGCGAGTGGGTGTGTGCCTGGGAATGCTTTGTGCCGGGCTTCTGGTATAGGTTACTTACATAATTTTCAATCAGATCATTGCGATGTGGCACAAAGTAATTGTGATCCTCCATGTCACGTCGCTTCTTGACGCGCACAAAGTGCTCCATGGGATTGAGGTTGCGACGGGCGCAGGCGCTGGCAAGGAATTCCTCCACAGACATCGCGTCACGTAGATAAACTGTCGAGTAAGCATTGTCGGGCATTGCAACTTTGAAGGTTTTTTCCGGCTCGTCACGTGAATTCATCTGGAAAAAGGCAGAAAATTCGATTGGATAAACAGGCGAGCCAGGCGAACACACACACATACACAATGTCATTAAGGCTGTTGTTGGGACACATACACACGGAAGTGAAAATTGAAAAATAGCAAAAACACATTTCTATCCGAGCAAATGTGTAATGAAAAACGTCAGCAGCAGTCAGCCAGCAGGCAGTCGGCAGTCAACGGACTCTGACAGACACCATTTTGAAGAAAATTCTGTTAAAATGCTTAACGGCATCATCGTCTCTCTCTCTGTGTGTGTGAGAGAGATGGGAAGAGGGGAGGAGTTAACGCTAAAGCTGCAGCTGGAGGTGAAGTTGGCGCCGTGCTGCAGCCAACAGTTTGGCCAACTGGTAAACGAATCAGGCGCCCAGCTGCCAGTTGTTGCCGGCTGAAAATTGCATTTGTATTGGCAGCCTTCGACGATGGATTTTGCTGGCTGAATAACTTTGGCTGCCATTGCCGTTGCCGCTGCAGCAGGCGCCCCGAGGCAACAGCACACAGGTGTAATGCGTACACACACACACACACACCACATTAACTTATCAACTGTTGTGTGTGTGTACAGTTTACTGCTTGCACGACAATTGAATTAGTTTGGCAGTTACAAAACTCTCACACACACACACACACACACACGCGCAGAGAGAGAGACAAACTGGCAGCAGCAGCGACAGCGGCAGCTATGCCACATTTGCATGCACATCCGTCAGGCTTGCCACATGTACAGCAGGGACAGCAGCAGCATCAACTGAAAGGAATCTTTGCATTGCATAACAATTGGGCAACGTTGGCATCTTACTTTTGCATACATATATATACTTATAAGCACGTATATTTATATATGTATATATTCGCATATATGTTTATTGTGGCATATATCGCTTGCAAAGTCATTATGCCGCACAGTTGATGCCACACAGCGAAATCAATAATAAATATGCAATGCGTTGCATTTTTGGGTGTCAACTTTATATTCATATACAGGAAATGAAGGCATTTGTATTATATTGTCCTTTGTTGTTCGTGTTGTGGCTTGAACGTGATGTGAAATGCGAAGGCAACAGCTGCAGAGATTGCAAATTATAAATATAATCAAGTTAAAAATTCCCACAAAGAGAGAGAGAGACAAACAGACAGAGCGAGAGAGAGGAAGAGAGATTACCAAATGCAAACAATTCGCAGTATTTTTGTTTTTATGTCTGATAATTAAGAAATATTCGGAATACAAAAGACTCTTAAAAATCTCTGTGGAAAATATTCAATAAATTTGTGATTGCAATTTACTTTTTATGCTCGTTTACAAATGAAAACGGAGTATATGGGGCCTATGCAATGCTCGTCTGCCAGATAGTACTGAGTGTATATGGCTAGACCCGTTGGAGGCGTGGCAAATCGCCAAAATTTATATCTGCCTCAGTCGTAGATCAAAAGGAGCTTCTCAAAAGATGCAAAATAAATTTATCTGGGCTGGAAATCGGCAAAAACAATATTTTTTGGCTTGATTGAGTATACGCAGTCGGTTATACCCGATTGACATGTTTTTACTTGTTTAAAATTGAATAGCTTGCATATGTAAATATTTAAAATTTAAATATAAAAAATATACAGAATGCATTTCGTTTAAAATCAGCTAGACTTGACCGTTAAAGCCGATCTGGAATATATCAAATAATCTTCAAACTTTAATATTTTACCATTCAATTGAGCTCAGCGCAGTTTTTTCTTAGATCGCAGCTGCATCCGCGCAGCGCGGATTTTCAATAGCATTATGCAACTTTGCAGGAACTGTTTTAATTTTGAATTTCAGCTCATGTTGCCTGTGGCTGGGCGCACATTGAACTGTCGATTAATGAACTTTGGCTGCTTAATGCCACAACGAGTTGCACGCTGGTTGAGCCGTTGGTGTGGCACAAGTCAATTTTCAGTTGTCGCTTCGTTGCGTAATTCAATTTTGTGTCGTGATGCCACCTCTCTTCGGGCCAACTAGTATGGGCCAATTAAATGCGTCGTGACAAAAATTGTTTAAAGGCCATTTTCCAAAGAGTTTGCACTGCTCGATAATTGCCAGTTGCGAGCGCTGCCACCGGCGCTGGCGGACACCTTTAATTTGATTTCATTTCATTTTCAATTGCAATTTCAACTGCATTGCAGCTGACATGCTGGCAGAATGAAAAGCCACGCACACACACGCACACGCACACGCACATGCACACGCACACATACTCAATCGAGTTGACTGCGCAAAAAATATCAAGCAAATCAAATGCACATTTTTCAAATTCAATGAATTTTCAGCGCTGCATTTACAACGCCAAATCCAAGAGTCTCATTTTACGTTAGTAACGTTTTATATATATTTATATTTATGTTCTTGTTTTTACCATGAATATTTTTGGCTTCACTGGCAACGGCGACTGCAATTGTGCTGCGTTGGCAAATTTAATTGGAAATGAAGTGTGCACGCCCCTGTGAACGGGGGTGTGTGTGTATATATGGGTGTGTGAGTGTGTGTGTGTGTATCGAGTGCTGCGCACAAGATTATTTTGCCAATAATCGAAACAAATTGAATTTATGAAATGAATTTCATTAAAACAAAAAAAAAAACAAGTATATGCAAAAATGCCAACTCTAATTGAAGTTTATCAAATAAGCAGCATCAAATACATAACGAGTCCATAAATAAAACAACAAAAAAAGCATAATAAATTGAAAGAACGGACTTAATTCGTGTTGCTACATAAATGCAACCAACTAAACAACATGGTAAACTAATTTGAGTATTCTAGCAAATGGGCATTTTGACTTTCCTTTTATCCTTTTGGCATTGATAGTCTATTTATTTGTTTTGTTGTCAATATACGGGACACTCATTAAATGCGCAGCATATTTGATGACATAGCCAAAATAGCCACTGGCAGTGTATGAAAATCCACACATATTTCAACTTGACTTCAAGCATCTATTTCCGCAAATTGAGTTTATAGTTTAATACACTTAAATGGCTTTAAAAATGTCCGCTGCGTATACTTCATGCAATTTGCGGCTGTGATAATCTTAAGGCTAAGCACAAACTGCATTGCATTTGTTACTATTTTTGCATATTTCAATTATTTTCATTGCTATTTGTGTGGTTGGCTTCTAAATGAAATACCTAAAATTCCAAATATCAATACAAAGACTATTTGACTATTGAATGGGATGAAGAGCAAATAAAAAGCATTTAGCTGAAGAGCTGCATTTGTGAAATGTAAATTGTAAAACTGTTTTACATATTTGTGATTTGTCTGTTTGCCTTTGTCGAGATTAAACTGGCTTTTTAAAAGCGAACTACGTAACTTATGCAAATATTTTCAGAACTTTGGATTAGTTTTTTGCCGCTGTTGTTGCTGCTGCTGTTGCTGCTGCTGCTGCCATTTGCCTAATGGCTATCTAAAGAATCTTCCAGCCAAGCAAAACAAAAATTGGGTGTTTTTTCTGGCAGCTTCATAAATTTGTTTTTGTAATTCCTGATGGCCATTAAGTTTAAATTATAAAAGAAGCGCACACAACCACCAAACAAAAAAAAAAAGGACAACAATATGCTAAAAATACGCGACAGCGGTCAGCGTGGAAGTACATTAGAGAAGTCTGTGGAACGCTGGTGACACATTCAGCTGTCGTTCAGATGCGCATTAGCGCTCAATTTGGCTTTTAATGCCGTTTCCGCTGCCTTAAATACAATTCAATTATTTAAGCATGCTCACACACACACATAAACATACACACGCCCACTTCTCAAACGCAATAAAAATGAGCGGACAGAGGCGTCATAAAAGCGTTTCAAAAAATTGATATACTTTTATTACGTATACGAGCAGTGGGCTCAATTTTATATATAACTTACCTGCATGGAGCGGCGACTGGAGCCGCTATTGGAGCGAGATAACATCGGAGGTCGTCGCTTGGTGGCACCACGTCCAGCCAACAGATTATTGAGCAGCGACGGCGACCGGGCGCAAATGAAGGCATGGAACGAGGACACCGTAAAAACTCCCAATTTATTTAAAGTGTTCTTCGTCGGCCGCGACACGTGTGTGAGCAGTGACTGCAGTAGAAAAAAATAAAAGTAAGAGACATTACAATTTTAGATAATCCATAGAAAAATAATGCCCATAAATTTAAAACCAAAAATTGCTGAGTGTAAATGAACAGTTATCGAAAGCAAGAAAACCCACAAAGACTACTGAAAATGTGGCTTTAAAGGTTTCTGATGTTTAGCTACTCCTATTTGTATTCCCGTTCTGATGAAGAGCCAGAAGCAGGTGGAAAAGCGTTTACTGAGCAACTGGCTGATTCATTTTGGTCAACCTGACTGATATGACATAATTAATTTCATAATACATACAGACAACCACACAAAGTACATTAACTGGCTGAGTGTTTGTGTGCGTGTGTGTGTTTGTGTGTGTATGCTTGGCTGGCGAGTGTGCTGTGTAAATAGCCTCCGGTGCATGCACTTTCTCGTGTAAGTGGTGCTGTTGAAGTTGTTTGGGTTTTGCGGTTATTAATAATAAATGTGGTTGCTCTTTATGCGAGTAGCTGAGTTGAAAGCCCTGCATTTGCTGGCTGCCAGCCCCCTTTTTTCCCGTAAAACCCTGCACCTTCTCCTCTACAAGCCATAAAAAGCGCAATTAACTTGCAACCCTTTTCGTCACCCATCACGTTGGGTTGGCCTCGCAAATCTTTTTAATGCAGTGCAAAGTTCGAGCTGCTTGTGCTGCCACTGGAAGTTACCCCCAAGAGTGCCCTTTGACCCTTTAAGCTGCAGCTCATTTAAGGCGCTTAAATTGTGTTATGGAGATTAACTGTACACGTCTCGGATTCTCAACTAGTCCGAGCAATCGAAATTTCGGCCCACTGTTGCCGCCGCTCTACAAATAAGTAGGTAAAACCAATTATAGACAACGGGGCCCCAAACTCTCTGCTAAGAGCTGTAATCTGTGCCCTTTTTGTGGCTGGGGTTGCGTTTTAAGCTTCGTTATGGCTGTCTATGAGATGTTTTACAAGTGCGTTTTATCTTAGGGTCTAGGTGATTTTTAATCAACTTCTGCCTTGTTATAGTGTGTAAACTTTAAGAAGATTATGACAAGTCTTGTGGTTGATTACATGATTATTGAAGGTGGGTGCGTTACTTTGTTAGATATTTAGTTTTATTTATATGCGATTACGAAAGTCTGCTTAAAATGAATGTGAATGTTAGTGGAAGTATCTCCTAAGAAGCAAAAATATCTTCAAGCCTCTAAGTCTGTCTTAAATATGGTTTTTTGCACACCAAACGTGAATTGACTCTATTTAACTCGTTAAAATCTTTCCAATTCCTTCTTTAAGGACTTTAAATTCTCTTAACTTCATTAAAACTGAACCAGTTGTCAAGTTTTGTCGAGGCTTAACCCTCTAGCTTCACTTTGCATTTATAATATAACAGATTTAAATAGACTTGTAACTCTTCTTGCTATTCCTTCAGTTTCGAGTACCACCTGTTACTGGCCCCCTAGAGACTGCTGTTATCCTGTGCACTTGACAACTACTTTGCATTGAATAGCAGTTTCAGGTACGCAGTTTATCACCACAGAGACGAGAGCAGCTCCAGAACCATCAGCATCAGCATCAGCATGAGTGTCAGCAGCAGGAGCTAAGTAATTCAAATTGACGCAATCTCAGCCACGTTATGTGAACTTTCTGTGGCTTCCGTTAGGTAAAACAAATTGCGGCAATTGCCATTTTGCCATTTGGCGCTTGCGAGGGTTGTGGGGCTGGATGTTATAATCGTACGCATAACTCACCTTTGGATTGGGCAGCTCGCCGCTCTGGAGCGAGGCCATATAGCAGCGTAGTCGGAACTGTTCACAGTGCAGGCGCTCAAGGTTTTCCTCCCATTGCAAAATCTGTGCCTGAATTTGATGGCGCGTCTCCTGATCGGTGACAACTGATTGCTGCAGCTCAGCCATGTGCTTCAGCTTGTGATCCTGCAAATAGAAAAAAAGAAGGAAAACACAGAAAAACGACAGACATTAGACATGAGCAGACACATACATGCATATATTAAAGCAGTGTGTTCGTATTTGTGTGTGCTGTGTGTGTGTGGATTGTAGGGCAAGGATGCGGCAGTGTCGCACTCGTGACGGTTATGAAAGCATCTCTGGCATGGCATCATTAGCATTTCATGGCAGCGTCACAGCAACTACTGCTTGTGTTGTTGTTGCTGTTTTTGTTGTTGACGTTGATGTTTTTGTTGCTTTTGCGGTGGCTGCTGTGGCTGCCATTTGACGAAAATACATAAATCACGCGTCATGTGCAGCAGCATTTTTCGTTGACGCAATTCAAATATCTCTGGGCCCTGCTCTCCACACTCCAGATACAACCCTGCCGTTCGCTTTGGCTGCTGAAGTGCGTTGGCAATGCACCAACTTTGACACACACACAAACACACATGCATACACATACACACACACCGTTAGAGATACTTTGGCATCGTTAGCCACACACACGCACGCACACATATGCAACACATGCCCCTGTTTTCATTACAAATAACGTTTGACTTCCGCCGCAGCGCATCCCATCCGCATCAGCAGGACGCTGTAGAGGAGCGGCAGCAGGATACCCTTCCTAGTTTAGCCTGCTTTGCCCAATCCAACCACCCTTCGTTAGCATTGCCAGTGCCATTGCAATCCCACTTTCACGTGCATTTATACACGCTTCCATAGATTTCATGGAGCACGTGATTGTTTCATTTTGGTTGCTAGACTTTTTTTTTACTTTGCAATTGCAGTTGCTGTTGCTGTTGCTGTTCTTGTTGCTATTGTTATGGTTGCTGCTGTTGGTGCTGTGTGCTGCATTCAGCTCGTGTAAGCTGACAATTATTTGCAGATGCAGCTGCCGTTGCAGTGGCGGATAAAGTGGGCGTTGCCGTGGCAACAACAACCTGAATGGGCACTTTCGATGTTCGACATTTTAATGAATGTGTACACATAAACAGTAGCAGCAGCAGTACTCACACACACAAACACACACGCAATACACATATGTAAATGTATTTGTTCGCCGGCTTACACAGGTGTCTGCGTAAGCGCGTTGCGTGTGAGTGTGTATATATGCGAGAGCACGCTACTTGCTAGCTTATGTGACGCTGTTGAGCTCAGTATTGTTTATTTTACGTGAAATAAATCATATTTGGTGTATTTGATTTAACGAACTCAACCGGGCCCAAACGGCGTATACGTAATGCGTGTGCCTAATGCAACAATCATATGCTATATTTGATGGACTTGCTGCACGTATTTGAAAGTGTTCTTATAATATAATAAGAGCAAAGTTGCAAGTGAAGAATTTTTAGTCATCGAGTATGAGCGGGAATGAAAATACTGAGAGAGGGCGTGCGACTAATCAGCGAGTAAGTTAGCCTAATCAGTATACGCTAGAAGAAGAGCGAGTGAAAGGCTTAGATAAGTAGGTGAGCTTTAGGTAAAGAGTATTAACTGAAGAGAGAGCGAGTGAAAAGCTGAGACTAGCGAATGTGGCTTACCATACGACGAGAGGGTAAATGCCAAGACATTACACTGAGAGGAGAGCCAGTGAATAAAAGAGACAAGCAAATTGGGATTACCATGTAGTACGAGAGCAAGTAAAAAGCCAAGACTAGCGAATGAAGCTTGCCTAACAAACTCCTCGCACGAATTGAAACTCTTCTCATGCATCCTTATTATCATTAGTATACGGATATATGACTACTTTGCTACTTTGATCAAGCACTCTTCGATCCAGTCAAGTAGGTTTCTTTAAGTAGTTGCTCTATTGACTTCTTGCAACAAAATTGATGATTTTAGGCCAAATTTGGCCCAACATTACCAACACAAGAAGCTAAATCAACTAAAGAGGCTTAGCTACAGGCCTCTCGATTGCCATTGCCAGTTTAACGAGCACCAAGAACAATAAATGGTATTACGATTTAATGACTGCACTTAATCTGCGCACAAGTTCACAAATAATACGTGCAACAAGCAGCTGAGCTGCTCAACAGGGCTGCATTAGTTTTATAACAATTGCAAAAGCGATAGGCATGTGGCATAATATGTATGTCCAGGCAGACAACAAGAAATGGTACAATTCATAAGGCTAGGTGAAGGGTTGTGTAGGCGTCATTTGACAAACACAATTGACAGTCAAAACATTTGGCAAGTGAATTTTGTTATTATTTACGGTCAAAAACAAAAGGACAAATGGCCAGAATAGACAACAGCTTGAGCTTGCCAGCACACACACACACACACACACACACAAATAATATAGCAACATAAATAAATGGCTGAACGTGATGGATGTATGTGTGTGGATGTGCGTGAGTGTGGTGTGCACACATTAATCGTGGTCGTATTGTTTGCTGTTGTTGCCGTCACGTTGTGCGCTTCATGGTTAAATGGCAATGTTAATTACCTTGTAATTGCATGCACTTGCAATGTAAATCGACGTGATATAATTGCTATCGATGTTATCGATTTTCGCAAGAGACGTTGCATGAATAACATATATATTGTCGATCAGTATCAACTAAGGAAATCGTCACATAACTAAACTCAGCTCCGTTAATTTACAATACTTTTTTGCAGATTCAACATGGAATCGGACTACTATGTCATATAGCTGCCATGAAAATAATCGGTTAAATTTAAATTTTTGTATAAGTTACTTTGATGTTGTTCAAGATATTTAGACCAAACTTAGCACTTAAAAGCGCCTACTATGTATATGTTAAGCTAAGTCTCAATCAAAAGCTCTAAGGGATAAATTGATGGAAAAAGAAGTTTTTGTATGAAACAATCTTCTGTTTTGCAAGATATCTTAAGCAGATATCTAGACAAAGCTTTGCAGTTGCAAGCTTCATAACGTTCCCTTCATATGAGCTAAATCTTATCAATATTGTACTAGAGGAACAAATGGCTCTGTGGGAAAACTCGCGGGAATAATAAGATTTTGTTTGGAACAATCTGCTGTTTTGCAAGATATCTTAAAGAGATAACCCATCTGGAAACCCGCTTAAAATCAAACGACTAATTATATAGCTCATATAGGAACAATGGGTGGAAATTATACATTTGCATAGGCTCATATGTTTTTAAAGCAGGGGAAAATAAAGCTATAAAGATTTTCTTTCTACGCCTTGTTGCTGATAGCCGTTAATTATGTTTGTTTTACTGTAAAAAACACTCAATTATGCGACGCAAAAACTCGACTTGAATCAGTATGTTGGCGTTTTCTTTGAAAGCGGTTAGTTAGTTAGATGACTGTTGGCTGTGACCTATAGTTTTTTTAGCAGCCCTCCGTAGCTATGTTACGGGGGGGCCCTGCAATTTGGACTGTCATCTCAATTCCCCACTTAACAGCAATTTTATTATTGCTATGTTGTTGCTGCTTGTTTCTGTGCGGTTTACATTTTTTTTTTGTCTCAATGCTCTTTGCGCTTTGCTCTGGTCCAGTGCTTTTGCTTATACTCTATGTGTGTGCCTGAGTGTGTATGTGTGTGTGTGTGTGCGAGTTGTGGTTGTCTGTTGCGCTTTCATTAAGCGTCACTCGTGTATGGCTCCCCGTGCGCACATTTGTGAGCTGCACAGCCACAGGCTCTCTCAAGTAGGCAAACTGTAGTTGAAGTTGTTCGGGCTCCTAGATCCTGTAGCTGGCATTGCCATTGCCGTTCTTGTTGTCGCCATTGTCGTACTGTCATTTCCGCTTCCTCAGTTTGGCTGCCCGAGTTGAGTTGAGTTGAGTTCAGTTCAGTTGAGATGAGTTGAGTTGAGTTGGGTTCATGGTGCGTTTTGTTGCTGTGCGTTGCTGTGATATATGTTTACCCGAGAGTACAATTAAAAAATACATTTTGCTATTGTTGTCATCGTCATCGTCGTCAGCGTCAGCATCGCATGACAAGCCAAAGATGCCGCAAATAGCAAAACCACAGCAACCGCAAACCACAAACAACAACAACTACAACAGCAATAATAACCACACTCACACGAATACACATACACACATAGCAGCAGCAGCAACAAGCGTAGGCAACAATGACTGAAATAATAATAACGCCCCAGCAAAAAGCGCTGCCTGGTATCAGTTTTGTTGCTGCTAATGGCCTCGTCCTTCGATAAGTCAACCGGTCGCTCCACATTCTTTCTCACCCAGCCAAAGACAATAACGATCAATTAACACAGCAGCCGCCACCGCTCCCCCTCCCCCTCGCAACTATAGTCATTGTGCTCTGCTGTATGTGCAACAGACAGCAGTTGCAGCAATAATAGCAACAAAGAAAGGGACAGCTTTTGGCTGTGAGTTAAAGAAAATTAAACAAAAAGTAAAGTTAAACTTTAAGTTTGTGGTGCACCACGTACAACGAAGCGTATGCGCAACGTGAAATTTTAAATGAACTGCAGCTCAGCTGACCTCATGGCAGGACTTTTGACTTTGTTGCCGCTTCAGCCATTGCTGGTGCATTAAATGCACGCCCCCACGTTGCTACCACTCACAAAAAGTCAAATGTGAGTGCGGGCAACCGCATAAAGTGGGTGGTGCAAGGGTGCAAAATGTCAACAAAAGGCCTGCAAATTGTACGCTTCGTGCACGTTGTGTGGCTGAAAGTGTGTGTGTTTGTGAGTGTATGCACATGTCCTGCATAAATGCTGACCACAAAATGATGCCACATTATATAACGAGAGGGGGGGACGCAGGTTGTGCGTGAAACAAGCTAAGCCTAAAACCTAAAACTGCCGCCTGTTTGTCCTTGTGGCCACAGCTAAACGTGTACTATGTGTGCGTGTGTGATGCCCATTTGCCTTTTTTCCGGCTGCTCCTGCTATGGCTGTTGACAATTGAATTGAATTTGGCAGCAGTTGTGGCAATGCCACGCCCACATGCCAGACGCATAAAGCATATTTCAGCATGCAAAACCCAAATAGGCAAAACCAAAAACAAATCAAAAACC